TATATCTAGTAAAGTTTATAAGAAAAAGTCACTTTTTAACAAATAAAATAAAAAGTAATTATAATTATTTATTAAAAACTCAAAATTAAAAAATTTGTAATTATTTTTAACCAAAATTAGTCCTTTATAATAAAAATTAGTCACATGAAATGCGTATATAACAATTCTGGCTAACAGATCTTGATGTTATTTCATGAAGAAAATTTGTTACAAAAGATATTATATACATTACATTTGATTTTCTTATGTTAAAAAAAAGTGAGATTTATTAAGTCCCATCAAGCACACGAAGGTTTAAAAAAACAAATATGTACAGTGTCTAGAAAAACATATTTTTCAAAACAGCTGATGTCACTACCTAACAGTATCAATATGTTACGCAAATAAACAGTGACGTAAGAAAATAATTCATTGTTTTATTTTTTTCTACGGGAGAAACGGTTGCAATGTGCAGAGCGAGTTTGCGGATTTCAAAAACCGTACACAGGCTGATAAGCGCGCTGATATTGGCCTGTTCAAACGAATACGTCATGTACCGAAGGAAAATAACGATTATTGTTTCACTAAACTTCTATATTGCACTAAAACTTCATTTTTACTACATAGTAGAATGGCAAATAGGCTATTACTCTCCTATAAAATATTTATCCTCTTACATTATGTACAATTTAAAAACTACTACTGATTTTTTTCATTTTTTATCTTTAACTGTTAGTATTTTTATTTGCCTGGATATATCTCATCCTCTTCACAGGATACTTTCTTCTAATGTTGAGTACACATGACTTATTTAGAAAATTTTAAATTTTTTCATAGAATTTTTAGTTAAATTTAAATTTTTTGAAAATAAATAGAATTTTATGAACAAATTAATTGGTTTAATTAAATATTACCGAAATTATTTTGTGTATAGATATATATAAATAATATATAGCTCAATATAATTTCTGACAACTATAAACTTTTTCAGTCAGTCTCAATAAAAAATGAATTTTCAGTGTTAATTTATACACTGATTATACATACATAAAATGAAAAAAAAACTTATATTTCCTTTCATCATAGTCTTGTGACTGCACGTCTCTTTATTTAATCTCTCTTATACATTTTTCTATTTAATATAAATTCTATGAAAACTGTACGTATATATATTACTTATAAGAACGTTTCATTTTTAAATTTAGTTATCATAATTTTAAAAAATATAAAAATTTTTTAAGATTTTGCTTTTAAGATTTGACTTGAAGTAACATTTCAAAAAGCGGTGAAATGTCGTTAATATCGAAGAATATCCATACAGAAAACAAAACTGTATCCTAAGAATATCATTTCGATATATTAGATACATATTAAATATATCCAGGATTATTCAGGATATCCAATGGATTGTTGTATGTGTGTATGTATTGAATTAATATTATAGTACAGAAATTTCTCTCTCTCTCTCTCTCTCTCTCTCTCTCTCTCTAAAGTAAAATTTTATATTTTCCATAGTTAATGTAATGATAGATTTGTGAATATTTGAAAAATCTTTTTGTTAATATGCAAGACAATTAAAATGCAGGTTTAGAAGTGCGTAAAGTACGCTGTCATTTGCACCCAACTTTAGAAAATACATTGCGCAGAGTTCATTAGTTGTGATTGATGCGCGCGACTTAGCAGAATTATTCCGGTCGTGTCGAAGTAACTTACGTTTTTTTTTTTTCATCCAGTCGCTATTGCGCCTTATTTTCTGCCAAGATAACAATATTCTATACAAACCTCCATTAGATGTTACATAGAATTATAAACGTCCACTTAGATGTCTAATGGACGTTATGTTGTTATGTAGAAATGTTGATCTCGATATTTGAATTTCGTTGTCGTCACAGAACAGCGCGCAATACGACAAATTCTCGTCGACAACAAACAAACAAAAGGAGATAAATACATATAAGATGAATCCTTAATCTCGAGTTGCGATATTAGAACCGCGCTTTGTATAGATCAAAAAACGGAACCGGAAAACTAAATACTTTTCAACGCACGCACGTCGACACGACCGTGTGGCCGTGTTTTTACTGCGCACGCGTTGATTTACGCGAGTGGAAAGCGAGCGTAGCGTCGCGTCGTTCGTATCCCTGATATCGGATCGATAAGAAGATATTAATCACCGGGCTTTTTTTTGCGAAAGAGGATGTATCGAGAGACTAAAACACACCTCGCGAACTCACGCGTTGCGTGGTTTACCTCTTTTTTATTTTCATCTCCTCTTTACGAAAATAGTCGACGCATAGCGCATGGCGGATGCGCGGACGATCATAAAAAATACGAACAGAGTATAATTAATTCGTTTTGCTATGTGCTACGGTATTGCTTTAATATGATATGGTACAGTCTTTTCACTGATTGTCCAATATCACTACGTAAAACATTTTTCTTAGCTTTGTTAGTTTACCTCTCACTCACTCACTTATTCTTTCTTCCCTTTTTCTCTCTTTTCTTTCTTTCTTTTTTTCTCTGTCTACGCTTCTTTCCTTTCTCTCTCATCATTTCTTCTTATAAATTATCTTTATCTTTCACTCGCTTTTTTTTTTTAATTTTAATTTCTCTTTTGTTCTCTCACATACGAACACATTCATTCGTTCACACGCGCACGCTATCGTTCTTTTCACTGCTTACACTGCACTGAGCGTCTCTTCATTAGGATTAATATCACTTTTTCTTCGGCGCGACAAAACCGCGCGTCGTCTTTATAACAATACTTTATATTTTATGTTTCAAATTGTACTTTTCAAGACGCGTCGGTAATTCTCTTGCTTCGCGTTGTTCACTTGTCACGGCAGACTCGTCCGTAAAAGCAAACGACGAGAAATCTCTCTCTCTCTCTCTCTCTTTCTCTCTCTCTCTCTCTCTCTCTCTCTTTCTCTCTCTCTCTCTCTCTCTCTCTCTCTNTCTCTCTCTCTCTCTCTCTCTCTCTCTCTCTTTCTCTCTCCTTTATTCTTTTCTCCCAATTGTCTCCTAACGATTGTGTTTTCAATGATTATTGCTCAAGAAATTATTGCAATGGTGACTTGGTGATTTATTAGTATTTCCGATACGTGTTATTTTGTTACGTAAAAAACAATTGACATGATATTTTCTAAAATAATCAGTTACTGTAATCAAACAAAAGAAACATGATTATGATACGATGAATAGACATATGTACACGACATACACACATTAGTAAAATACTTTCAAATCGCTCATATAATCAACTCTCTTTCTCTCTCTTTCTTAATTAAATGCTTATAATTAATATACAAAAAGGCCAATAAGAGTCAATATGCTTGGTTTTTGCGCAACAATTTATTTTTCAAATTAATTTTTTATGTTTCAATCCTGGTTTGAGTTCTCTTCAGTAACAATATATAAAATTAGAAATTTAAAGCGTTGTTTAGTCATAAGTAGTTCAGATAAAATGTAGTGTTTTTGAACCAACATTGTATTAACTAGAATCACGCGTTCTAGCCTGACCCCTTTTCATATATTAATTATATTAATTTTAGAGTAAGTAAATTTTTTTCGAAATTTAAATATGTAGAACAAAAAATACACACAATTTCAATAAACTATGAAATTTTTTGACAGTGTTTCGAAATTATAACTTTATAACTATTTTTTGATTAATTTCTTTAATGTTAAATTTTTTTGTAGATTTATTTTTCTATACATATGTTGAAATTTCATATATTTGTTTGTGAAATCAGTGCCACACGACAATTTTGTGTCAATGCTTTACACGGTAAAGGGTCGAAGGGCAAATAGCATCGTAAACTGTTTTATCGCGATCGTTGGTGGTATCTTTTCCGATCTCGTAGCTTTATGGACTGCAAGCTTTTCAAAGCTTTTTTCGAGTACTTGCGAAACAGTACACCTATTGTGTGTGAACACATTATTACATATATAACATATATAGAAAAATAAACCAAACACTAAAACAAACTTCTCTTTTTAACAGAATATAAAAAAATATTACATGTTTAAAGTGCAATAAAATGTTATTGACATATATTTATCTCAAGCTTACCGTTAATAAAAAGTAAATGTTGCAATACACAAGTTTTGTTTAAAAAATGTTGACTATATATATATATATATATATATTGACTATATATATATATATAATTTATATTCTTAAAAAGTAACAAATATATCTCTTGGATAAAACATATGAATCCGGACGGCATTGATGTAAACTCGTTATTATGCAACACAAATCCATTGCTACAACGCTTTTTGCTAATGCAAATGAAAATACAAAAGAAGATATATATATTCCTGGCGCATCTACCCATTTTCCAAAAATCAGATGTTGAAAGCGTTATCTATTATTGCAGCGAACTGTTTTTTTTCCTGGTATTATTGGTATATTATTTGCTGATACACATGATTTGTTTTTTTTTTTTTTTTTTTCTATTACAAACAGTGTGTTTGTGTGGTCCCGTATTTTTGTTTGAAATAAAAAGATGTATTATTTGATATGTGTGTGTCGGGATTGCTTCTCTATAAGTAATCTTTGTTGTATTTCAACTTTGAAATGTAACAAGGTGTTTGTTTCTTTTTTTATTTTGAAGTCTGAAATTTTGGAAAGTAGCTAGAAATTTATTGCGACTTTTCTAAATTTCTATGTTATCAATGTTAAAAAACAAGTCGTTATCTTGTTTTTCATTCCACTAAAAAACAAGTGACAATCAATATATTGAACCGAACTGATTTTGTCACGACTTTAACATTTATATACGAATCACATTGAGAAACAATAACACCCATTGTGAAACATTTGTAAACGCGTCACCAGCGTTACATTGCATGGTTTGCACTAGTTGTATTATATGACAACATCACACGAGAAGATTTGTGATACAAAGAGAGAGATAGAGAGAGAAAATATCGCGAGATCCGACGGGTCAAGAATAGTTCCCTGCAACCGGTGATTTCAGAATATGCTGTTACACAAGCATATTACACACGCGCAGTGATAACAAAGCTATGTATCTTCTCAGCTTGTGACAGCTTTGTCAGTACCCATAGTCTACCCATAACATCGAGCCACTTTTTTTTTAAGCAGATATTCTCACAGATGGATCTCCCGACGACGTTTATTCCGACGATGACTCGGAACGGAATCTTCTCGTCGGATGTTGTCCGCCGACGGGGTCGAAGGAGGGAACTTTTCGCGCGCGGCCCTCCCTCCCAGTTTATCTTTAAAAATGGTTTTGGACTCACGGCCACCCCTGGAACTCAGTCAGGGGTTCAGGCTTGGGCTCGAGACTGGGCAACTGATACGGTCAGTTCTGCTGTCACAAGCCACTCTCGGGTCAATGTTGAGCCGCGAATTTCATACGCTTTTGCTTCTGTCGCTGATTGCAGAACCAAACCCGGACGACGTTCTTCTTCAAGTCAAGCTTCTCCGCGATTGCCGCGATCTTCTCGCCCGATGGTCGCGGCTGTACCGCAAAATATGCCTCTAACGAGCGCTTCTCGGGTGCAGCAATGCTTGTACGTTTCCGCTTTTTCTCGCCGGCCGGCAGTACCGACGGCGCGTCCGGATCGCGTCGCTTGTTCTTCGCTTGCGCTTCCGCCTCTTCCAGCCAAGCTTGCAAGATCGGCTTCAGAGCAATCATGTTGTTGTGCGACAGCGTAAGTGATTCGAAGCGACAAATCGTCGATTGCGAGAGCGCGCCGACACCTGGTAGCTTGAGATTTGCAAGTGCCTTACCGACATCCGCTTGTGTGACGCCTAATTTGATGCGTCGCTGCTTAAATCGCTCGGCGAACGCCTCCAACTCTCGAGGATCCGTGTCGGCATCAGGATGAAGGCCAGCAGCGGCGGCAGCTGCGGCCGCGGCGGCCATTGCTGGATGATGATGAGCCGGATGTGGTACACTGCCTCCACCACCACCTAGGTTGCCGTGATGATGATGGTGGCTCATCATGCCGTTCATACCGCCGTACACAGACGGGCCGTGAATACTCGTGTGATGTCCTGGTCCGCCACCCGTGCTCTCGGACATTGGCGTTAAGGTTGTCATCGAATTCGCTGGGTCTAACATATCGAGGCTCTCCATACCCGGATGGCTCATCTGAAAATATGTATATTAAACAGTTTTTAGTACGAATCTTGTGATAAAGATTTCTTTACACTTTTTTATGCATTGTGTAATATTTAGCGGATAAACGATAAATTGAAAGCTATTGCTGTAAACAAGTTATTATATTATCTATATATGTTTTCACGTTTTTTTGGGACAAAACAGGGTGTCCCAAAATTGGTGTAACATCTCTCGTAGACAGGTAGAAAGAATGAAACTGAGTCGATAAGTCCTATACCATTTTACTAGATTCGCAATATTTACCGAGATCTTAATTAACAAAGATCCGCGAATAAGCGCGCCGGACTGTCTTACGCGCGTATCGGCTCAGTTTTACTTCTTCTACCTGTCAACGAGAGATGTTACATGTACATATATATCTACATATTTATGTACATTTTATAATTATTCAAATATTACTTTAATGTAAAAAAATTAAAAAAAAAATTAAATAAACAAAGAAAGAGAGAGAGAGAGAGAGATAAGAAAAAAAATTATAAATTTTTTAAATTGTAGAAAAAACCAGCATATTTAAAACTTTTTTACAAAGAGATTAAAACTAAACACGCATAATTATATATAAATAAATAGGTAAAAAAAAATAAAAAATCTTCAACTTGTGTTATTAAAACTAGCAACGAGAAATTTAAACAGTCGTAAGGCTTCCATGACTGTTTAAATTTCACGTTGCTAGTTTCAACTTAAGGAGCCTGAATTCTTCATTATTTGTGTTATCAAATTTGAAAAATATAATTTATATGTGTATATATATGTAATCAAATTTACATGTATATATATAATCATATACAATCAAATTCATCATATATATAATTAAATGAATACATAAGATAAAGTAAAATCGCAAAAGATACTTTGAAAAACCAAATGCGCGTCATATTGCCGAGTTTGTAAAAATGCATTATGATGAAGCTCCGTCGTAGTATAGGGAAGAACATGAATGAAGAGTATAAAAAGCAAAGTTAGGTGCGGTGGAAAGAGCAGAAAATATGTACAAGCTAACACGCATAATTATGCAACACGTGCCACGGCCGTGTCGTCACGAATGCAGAACGCACCTTCAGCACAACTCCTTACAAATTATTTATGAACTCCTTTCATATTTTTCTCCGCTTAAAGTGCCATAATATAAATGACATGCTGTTAACTTATTTTCTTAAGGCTAGTATATCATGTGTCACATCTGCTGAATAAAAGTTAGACATTACAAATTAAACACTCAATAAAGCACAAATTACGAATAAATAGACAAAATAGTTGATTTGTTAACTAGTATTTTATTTTTTAAAAACTAGTATTTTATTTTAAAAAAAATTGTTTAAGAATTGTTTTCCTTATATTTATATGTTCAGATTTTAACTTTTATAATTATAATTTTATGAGATTGTGCTAATGTATTTATCTTGTATATATCTTGTATCTCTTTATATATTTAAATATGTAGATAAACTATCACGCACACAAAAATATGTGCACATTATACATACATTATACGTGTGTACGCGTATACAAAATCTAGTCTCAAGAGAATTTTACACTAAATTAACTGAATGCTATAATTTTGACCGTAGGGACAAGGCTTATAATCAAAATTAGTTTATACACAAGTATATTTGAGAAATAGGACGTCTTTGTATACACATATGAATTTATTTTTATGATATATATATATACATCTGCTGAATAAAGTTAGACATTACAAATTAAACACAATAAAGCACAAATTACAAATGGACAAAATAGTTGATTTGTTAACTAGTATTTTATTTTTAAAAACCTAGTATTTTATTAAAAAAAAAATTGTTTAAGAATTGAAACAGCAGATATATATATATCTGTATGCATATATAGGATATACATTCTTTGAGATATTTCTAAAGATTTATTTACACTAGTCATACACACGCACACTGGCGCGCACGTGCACACATTCTCTCTTTTTTCTAGAGAAACCTTTCTCTACATTCAAAATTAGAGTTTTTCATAATTTTAATCAGAAATCTAATCTTCTTTTGTTGGAACACGTGTCGTATCAAATACTCGTTATTGAAAATCGAATAAAACTTGTAAGTCTACGCATTTGAATAGTTACTTAATGTCGAATGTATAACCAAAATTACCGGAAAACTCTACTAAAAATATCTACGTTGTTCTCAATCCGGCCATTATCTCACGTACATACGTAAGCGCTTATACAATCTCGCGGGGCACCAGCTTATACACATACGTACACGCGTAGGCAACACGCGCATCATCTATTCTCATGAGAACGGCAGTATAGTGAGCTAACTGGATGGCACGGTTTCGGTCGGCGGTGGTGCTCTGGGATAGCGCAGTTATATCAGAAATGCAGGGGGTGTACTCTGGTACGGACACCGGCGCGGGCAGCGTGGAAAAGGCAGAAGGTAGAGGAAGCAGACGGGGAAGAGAGCACCACCGACAGCAAATATACAGCAACTCAGGAGGGGGGATTTGCTCAGGGGTGTAGGTAGGGCCCTAGAGACCTGCGCAATATTTCATCATTACGCTGACACGATGGTAGGGTTAGCTGGCTTCTATGTTTTGCTCTTTCTCCTTGCTCTATTGCCCACCTCTCACCCCTAATTTTTCTTCCTCTTTCCTTGTTGCCGCGTTACTGTCTCTTACACGCGCACATATTCGCGCATGTTACACGCGCCCTCGCACATTCTTTTTTTTTCGCATTAGCTTCAAGCCGCTTTCATCTTCCTACTTTCATCCTTCTACATACATTCTTTTTTTAATATACATAAAATTCTGCTAGTTGTGTTGGGGTTTCTTTTTATATTTTATCTAACTTTTATATAATTCTTCCAAAAAAGTATACACATTACGTATTTCTTACATTTTGCATAACTATGTACGAACGGACTCGTACAAGTAATTGATTAGAGGAAATTTGACTGTTAAATTATTCAAGACTGAGTATATCGCAACTTCTATATTCTTAAAAAATTTAGATCTCGCATTAGCGACAAGAGAAACGATTTATGGCAATAAAATCGCGTACGCAAATCCGCGAAAGGATAGGAAAGCCAATAGAAAAAGTTAAGCAAAATCCGCGTTGAACCCTCATCGCGAACACGCGGCTCCCAGTATTCTTAGAATTCATTACATTCTCTGTCGAGGGACATTAGCAGTCGGAGATGATATACAAGCAACACACGCCCCTAACATTTGAGAAGATCATTCCGGGTCGATGCGCATTGGTTACCCGCTTGCACCCCAGCATCACCCCGCGTTTTATTCATCAGCATCAGATTGCTCAGATTAGCATAAGATACACGAGGCAACAAATTGAAATGCAATTCGCGCGAAATCATATGTCGCGCCCGCTTTTAAATGGCATAAAATCTTATAGTCTCGAACTAGTCGGTGTCGCATAGTGTGCTGCGTGGTTATAAATATAATGCGGCTTATTAAGCATTAAAACTCGGAAAATTAAAATCGTTGTCTGCATTGTTCGCGATATTAACAAATAAACTGCGTAAATTAAATTTTTCAATCTGTCGATTAAATATGAATCCAAAATTAATTGCCACGTGTAATTAATTATTGGCAACGATTTTAACCGACCGTTGGACTCGTTGCATTTTATGGATGTACGCCTCTTTCCTCTTACCCTCTCCCGCCATTGCGTACAGGATGGTTTACGAAACGACAGCGGCAGTTTTTCGCCTTTATTACGATAATCGTTCAGCGAACAATTTTGTTGTTTTTATTATTGATGTACCTATATATGCTAAATATACGCTGAATATACCTATCTATAATTGTGATATTTTATATGACGTAAGAATATGCGCAATGTTTTCGTAAGACCGGCCCAGTAGTCTCGCGGCCTGAGTGCAGGGGCTGCGAATCTGAAGGTCCCGAGTTCGAATCCGCTCACCACCTAAGGATTTTTTCCGGGCCGGTCTCTTTCAACCGAGTTTATCGGTTGATCGGCGAACTTAATCGGGGCCTCCAATAATTAATTCGGGTGTAATCCCGAAAAGGACGGCCGTGTATCGCGTGGTAGTAGTAAACAATTGCACATCCTCCTCATCCCCCATTCGTTCTGAGAATATAAAAACGACTACAGACTGGCATTTGCTTCTCTCGCGAAGAGGCGTGCGCCATTTAAGCAAAGAAGAAAAAGAATGCGCAATGTTTTCGCTTACTGTCAGTACTACCAAATATGATTGTAACACATACTGTTTTTATATACAGTCGAATCTCGATAACTCGAATCTCAAGGGAAGAGCTAAAATCTTTGAGTTGTAGAGGTTTCGGCTCATCGAAGTGCTTTCTATTTCCTTTCCGCGGAGCGGAAGGAAATGAACAAAATTTTCGTATTATAGAGGTTTTCGAGTTATAAAGGTTCGAGTTATCGAGGTTTGACTGTAATTCTCAAACGACTTATATTGTACACGAATTATTTTTACTTTTTTCCAAATATTTATGTATTTCAAATATTATATATATATTTTTCAAATATGTGTTTTTTTTATATGTATATCTATTTTACTTCTTGTAACTATATTTACAAGAGTAAGTATATAATGTATGTAGTGTAGCGTATAGAATAATATATCGTAAATGGTGGACTCACAAGAAGATGTGATTGTACCTGATGATGTGGCCGATTATTTGGATGGGGGGTGGGCATGTGTGCTCCATGATGGTACACAGACACAGGATCGTGCTTTAAAGGCATTGGCGTCCCAGCGTTGTGCTTTCCTAAATCGGCTGCCAAAGCCTCCGCTCTTGAAAGTAACCCATCTTGCAAACCGCTGTTTAAGCCACTGAATATATCACCCTGAAACACGTCAAGTATGTCATGTGTCATTTTGTAAAATCGGAAAATTTTAACAGTATCTTTACTATACATAAGAATTAGAATACAATTTCTAGATATAAGCGCTTTACTTTGCTAAATTCTTGAGCGCGATTGTAGACATTTTATTCCTTTATATTTTTCTAAAAATTTTGGAGTAACAAATAACTAATACATGCAATAAAGTTTTAATAATTTTTTAATTATGTTTATATTATCGTACATATTTTTGCACTATTTTTTATTTGAGTTTTTAATTTTTTTTTTCACTCTTAGCATATGGCCAAATTTCTAAAGTTTCTAATTTGGATTATATGTGATAAATTACTCAGGTTTTCTTAACAAAATGCTTTTAATGTGCATTATAAAATGTCACAACGCGTTTTCCCTTTTGGACAAGCTTTTTTTTATATAACTGAAGAATTACACAATTTACAATACAGAGATGCTACATACATTTGTTAACTTTATAAATTTTCTCATTAAATTTTTATGTAATCCATGTGACGTTGTGTGTGTAAGTGTCTGGGCAACAGCCAGCCAATTTGTGTGCCAAGCAGTGACATGGCTTACGATCGATATCCCGAAAATAGTTTTATTATCCGAGATATTGGCGTTTTTTGAGTTTTTTAGATCAAAAGATAAAATTTCTGTCGCTTTTAAATTCTACTTTAAAGTTTTCCTAAAATTTCTTACTCGCACACACACACACACATAATTGTTATCAATCCAAATTCTAATAAATAAGAGTAAAATGTGAATTTACTAATCAACACACACACACACACACAAATCAATAGATATTAATTTATCTGAAGAAAGAGAAGGATGTTTGTGCGGAAAATATATATAAAGTTATATATATATATATATATATATATATATATATATATATAAAGAATCTATAAATAATTATTATAAAAAAGCATTAAAATTTTTAACGTGTGACAGATATTTAAAGATATAAATCGAGTGCATAAATACAGTAATTTTTGAGACACAACAAAACAACAAGTGTTATATAATCAAGAAAACGACAATATCTGCACGGATAAATGGCATTAAGTTACGATTCCCTCGAGCCTGGTAACGTTATTGTATTAACGCGTACACATATTCTATGATGTTTAGTAATCAAATTCATCCGTTACGCTGGAATCGATCCAAAAGATGGATACTTGACCGAGTTTCCCAAGAGACGGTGGACAGAATATAGAATCCGTCAATGTAACGCACGATGGCGAAACTGGACGAGTCAGTAGGGGGATCATACTGATGTCCCTTTACGCGTTTGGAGATCCAGCAGTTCCCCTTAGCGAAGTCAACATTTAATGGTAACGAAAATAGCTTAAACTACAGCTATGGTGAAATTTATGAGCAGTTCGGAACGGAATAACAAAAGGGACGGGTGTGATTTTATTTCATGGAGCGTTATGTGCAAAAGGGAGGATTGACTAAACTCTTCTTCTTACAACTTGTCGATGTACAAGAAATAATTTCATAAGACTGATATGGTTATACTTTTTATTATTTTTTCATTAATTTTAATAACAACAGTAATAAAAGAACAATTTCTTATGAAATTTGTTTTTTGAGACAAAATTATTTTAGACTTTTTTCTCTGTTTTTATTGCTTTTCTTTGAATAATACGCATACAATAATTATACATTTTGTAGACATAAATGTTTATTATTGCTATAATGAGTGTAAATTTTTATAATATCAAACTACATTATCTTGTTACTGTTACAGTAAATTTTTGTTACTATGTTCTCAGCTATTGATTACAGCAACTCTTTTAAAGGGATATCTTAATGAAAGCTATACATTATATTCATAGCCTTATATCACTTAGACTTGCCAGTGACTTCCATGGATGTGATCGATATTATATGGGACATTTTGCATCAACTACATCTGTCACTTGTGACATGTTACTAGGTTCGTTCTACGTTCGAAGAATATTGCAGTTGTAAACTACAATACATACGTACCTATAAGAAACTTATAACTTCTTTGAAGCGATTTCAACATAAAAGTATTTATCAAACATACATTTGAAATTTGAATCTTTGAGTGTTAGTAAAAACTAGTGCTAAGTATCAAGTATATAAATTAAAGATAATAGTGCACAAATATATGTGCTCTTTTAATATTACGCTATCGATAGTAAAGTAGCCAAGTACCAAGCGCTAAATGTATGAGCAAAATACAATTACAAATGTAAAGTGTACAAATTTTAGAGCAATAGTTTAAAGTAAAATCAAATTTAATCAAAAAATGTAATTTAAAAAAATGTTTAGTTTGCATCTCATATATATAGGAAATCTCTTTACCTCTCTAAAAAACCAATTAATTCAAGTAATAGTCATTGTAAAAAATAACATAATTTATAATTATATAATATATAATTTATTTTACATTCATCTTCATTGAATAATACATTTTGCATAGATATCTAGCACTTGGCTCTTATTTATTCATATTATACTTCTTATTGTTCAATTATAAATTAATAGTATACCTATACTTAAAAACTTATATTTATTATTTAAAAAATAATAACTAAATAAGAGATCTTAGTTTCATAAAAACACTCATAAAGAATACCATAGTGTTTGAAAAATAAATTTTATTGCATCAAAATTAATAATCGTAATTAGCATTACGGCGTTAAAAATATTAAATTGCGTACTGTAAGATTGAATTCGATATTAACATTTGCAAACTTTTACTCAGATAAATTAATGTTTAAACATATAAAAAGTAATTCTATTGGATTTTGTTACATATACTGCACAATGTAAACTATTATGATTATAAATAAAAATTGCGTTAACTAATATAGAAAGTCGACAAAAACTATCCTGATGACACTTCTCCACACATAATAAAAATATTGAATATTTACAAAACGTATCCATATGAGTTTCGTGATAACCATGTATGTTTTTCAGTTAAAAAGTAAAATCTGTTACAACAATGTCAATGTAATAATAACAGCAGAGAATTCTCTCACGGAAATGTTATATCCAACATTGTATCTTCAACGTATTGCACGAATAGTATTTTATACATTATATTGTTGTTAATTTTCTTTGACAATCTTTTATTGTTTTTCAAATTTGCTATCTAGATTAATCTAAAATAGTTATCAAAATATCGTTAGCCCGGCCGACGCGGATAAAGCTAAAAGTGATTCATCGCCCACTTATTTCATTACGACCTGTAATGTCCGCATCGCCCGATCAATGTTTCATGCGGAAACCACTGGCGTGTTCCAGCGCTTCGATTATTTATGAACTCCTCGTGTCTTCGTACCGCGTACCTATGGCTGTCTCTATAGGTTGCTGAACTGCCGTCAGTCTTTTTAATCTTGAAATTTTACTCTCGCTTCTTTTCGATCGCTCTATATTTCTCATCACGAATTACAGAGCCAATTCTATTATATTTTACAAGCAATTTGTATGATATATTGCCAAATGATTATAAATTAGTTTGTTCTGTAGCATTTAATAAATATGTACTATTATATTATGAATATTCTATGCGAAGTAAGATGTTACTCAGATTTTAAGAACAAACTGACAGACATTTAACGTAGCGATAAAAATATTACTTAATATTATTCATTGATTTATAACAACTTTATTTCACTTTATATTAAAACTCTTTTATTTAATAAAATATTATTAGAGATTGACCTGGTCTTATCTTACTTTATTTTAAAAAATTTACTGTTATTTAACCCTTAGACCAACGTGTATGTTCTTAATATACATGAAGTTTTGAAAGAAAAAATACTATTTCAATATACTATTTCAATGAAAAAATGCCGGCTGTCTAAAGGTTAATAAAAAAAAAAAACAATTAATATACAAATATTTATGTTTATTGTGAAAGTTTTAAAAATTTACGTAATAATAGACATTACATTAGGACATTAGGAAAAGTTATGAAAGAAACGAAAAAATAAATAATAAGTTTAAGAATAGGTTTGATAAAATGATTTGCTTTCACCAGGATGTGAGTACTGTATAGGAATGTGAGTAAGAAAACTACCCTCACACGTGGAAATATTAATGCGAAGCAGTAACTTTCTGCAATAACTTGTACCGAATGACGACATTTTTCACACAGACATGCTGCTTAATCGAAGCATTAGCAGAACGATAAATCACGGTCGCGGCTAAGAGGTAATACACGATGGACCCTCGTTTAACGTAACACTTGAACAGTAGTCACTCGATCTTCATGCCTGCACAATACATATACAATGTACACACACACATACGCACATGTGTGTACGCTGGAGTCAAAGTTATCCGACTTTATGTAGGGGAAAAGACGCTAGAATATCCCACATTATTGCCTTCTTTATCTCTGTTTATAACAACAAATTGGATTCATTCCAAGTTCACAATTCCTATTTATTGAGTAAATGAGACTAATTAGAACAAAACGTCTGCTTATCTTCAGAAAGAAAGAGAGAGAGAGAGAGAGAGAAAGAGAGAGAGCTATTGTTTTTTGTATAATTTTTACATAAAATTCACACACACACATATAATTGTCCAAAGGAAAGACCGCAGCTAGAAATTACACGGATATGAGTTGTCACAATACTTATCTATTTCGCTTAAAGAATAGAAAGAAATATTCTTCTTTATAGTATAAGTTGCTATCGTGTTAGTTGCGTGTTCAAAATGGCTTTTAGTAAAAATATGGCATGTGACATTTGCGAGTATTGTTTAAAAATTGAACATAGAGCAAGTAAGTTTTTTTTCATACTAACGTTTTAATTCTTTCATTGATTTTGAAATTCCTAATTGCAATTTCATCTTAGTTATAGAAATATGAAAGTTTTAGAACTTTTTCTGTATTTATATTATTTACTTTTTTATAATTTTTTTCTGTATTTATATTATTTAACCGTCATTGCATCGAAGTTGTTAAATATAATCTCTTTTATTAAAACTTACGTTTGGTACGTTTGTAAGTTTAGTAGGCTGTCTAATTGATATTCTATACGTATTCATGAAAGAATGATTGCTTATTATCTAATTATACTGTAAAATAAAAAAGCGCATCTGAGAAGATTTAAGAGGATAAATATCACACGCAAGCAGTTATTTATTCATTGTTGCATTATATTGTGAACAAAGCTTAATGATGCTGGGGTAGGTGGGGAGAATCGAGGGTAGAGACTGCTCTTATTAGTCTCATAGTTAACACTTTGTGTTGTTGTTTAGCGAAGTTTCTTCCCCCTCACGCGATTCGCTACGTCGTCGCGGTTAATAGAGTCATTTTTCGATGCGGTCCACCCCTGCGCACGAGAGATACGTCTTCTGAAGCTAAAGTATATTATGAGGATTAGCCAATTACAATTGAATTATCAGCTCCTACGCTCCCCTTCTGTAATTTGTCCAACAAGAGATGGGCTCGATTAAGCATAGTTAACGCATTACTGATAACCGTACAAGATAGCGTAGCTATGGTAGCGTGGTTGCAGAATTGATTATAGAATTTAGAAAAAAGAAAAAAACCAAAAAAGAGCGTCATTGATGTTTCAACGCATTAAGCAGATATCTGACTTAGATAATCAAAAAACTTTATATGCGTGGTCTATTAATTCTTGTATTGTAGATATTATAACTATTATAAAAGAAAAATATATATATATCTAGAAAGATGTACATTGCATCAAATTAAAAAATGTATCTTCTTCAGCGGTGCAAAGGCATTAAGCAAAAAAAAGTCAATTACACCGTGACCTATAAGTCCAAATAATACGGTCGTATCGAGTACGTAAAATAATATGTCTGTCACGAGACGTATTTTCCTCTAGAAAAACTTATTTTCCGGAAAACATATTCTCATTAATTTACAATATTTGGCCCAAAGAGCAAACAAATACAAAATTAGATATTCTGGACACATCTTTATGTGCAGTATACATAAACCTTCAAGCGTGTGCACAAAATCAATTAGCAATTAAAGCCCAGCCGTGTCTGAGCCAAGAGCGGTTAGTCAGCGAATGGTATCCGCGAGAGATTCGATCGATATTCCGAACGCCGTCAAGTAGAGTCCGCGTCGCGTCGATAAGATACTAATAGCACACGCTATCAATACTAAGAGCGGCGCATCAATATCAAATGAGAAAGAGAAGAAGAGAGAGAGAAAAAGGATAAATGTCGTCTCACGCGCAGAGCGGCGTGTCGATTAATTACGTATATCGCGGGTTCGTATATGAAATTAATTAGCAATCAGCTTCGCAGTTACCGCGCCGAGTCTCCAAGTGTCGTGTCGCGCACAGCGTGCGCTCGGACCGTCGGCTATCGGATATCGCAAATTGGGACAATTACGTTATTTCCGTCCGATAACCTACATCACGGAGTAGTCTGATGCATGAATAAGTAAATTCTTCCAGAAAATCTGACGTCTGACACGAAAACGAGGAGACTGTTCAAATTATCACTTGCATGGCGGAGTACCTACTGTCTAGAGTAAAGAACATTATTCGAGCTGGTTTCGCCTCGGTAGGACCATCAAATTCAGTTTCATTCGTAGCGCAGACGCGATTTGCAACCCCCCTTGCCGTCGCCGTTGCCGCCGTCACCGTCACCGCCGCCGGTATCATCGATTTATAATAGCGCTGTTACGTTCTGTTCCCTTAACAGCGTTAATATTAAGTGTTGCTATTGTCACTAATATTATTATATCTTTTTATGTCCGTCGCTGCTGAAATACACGCGGCGATGCTCAGTGTGTGATATAATGCTCACTCGCGCACTATATTATCCCTCATATTATTGCTGGTAAATCTGCATTATCGATTTCCATTTCCGCCACGCTCGGTTGTCGTTGCGGTTCTACCGCGTTATTGTCGTACATTACTGTTATCTACTGTTATTATTATTGTTATTATTATATGCAGTTTAATCGCGCGATGGCGGTTTTTACATATTCGTGCGCACGAGAGTTTTCAATATATCTACTTAAATCGCCATTCCTGTGTTATTATATAAATCAAAATATATCGGTGTAGAAATAGTTTGTGCAATCAAAAATCATTTAACGGTGATCAAAATGACAAAAAGTACGAATTGCTCCGACTATAATGCAACCGCCTAAGGTATCTGTTGCATCCGCGGTGAGCATAAGTGTGTGTCACGTAACTCTTTTTATGGCACTCGACTATCTTCCTTCCCCTCTCATTCTCTTTTTTTCTTTCTCTCTCTCTCTCTCTCTCTCTCTCTCTCTCTCTCTCTCTCGCATCATATATCTAAATAATCAATTTAGTACTGGCCATAATCGTAACCACGAGTTAGCGAGTTTATACGAGCCAAGCTAGCTTCGTAAAGCATAAATATTATGAGGCATTTCGTATACAGCAACAGTCTCATAATCTCTTTCGCCTTTTTTTCTTTTCTCTTTGCCTATCGTTTTTCCTCTTTCTTTCTCATTATTCTCTCTATTTTTTTTTCTTCACTTATCCTGAGAAAATAGTTAAATCTAATCAAATCTTTGCTACGTAATAAAAGATATCTTTACATTTTACAGAAATAATTATCGTAATATATAAAAACAACATTTTTTAATATAAATCTTTTAATATATTTTTATTTTATAAACATTTATAATAATGTAAATTATATATTTCTTCTATTTGCTATTATATTGAATATAGAAAAAAAATGACGACAAAAAGAAAGTTTATAAGTGCGTGTTTATACTGTGATACTGAAAAGTGTATGTATAGTAAAATACGCTCTTGTATAAAAATATATATATATTCTGAATAATAAAAATTTAAAATATATATTGCTAAAAACAAGACGTAATTGTAAGAATGATTTTTATTGTATTAAATTGCATAAAGATATTTAAAGATGTAATTAAATCTAGTAAAACTTTTCTGTTAATTAAAAACAATGTCAGAATATTTTGTACTTCTATGTACAAAATATAACAACATATGGTTGTTAAAACTTGGAATATAATTATTTTGTCTCGTCTGAAGGAATGATAAGTAATTAAAGTGTTCTAATAGTGTATTAAAATGACAGCATAGTAATGTCATTTTATAAAAAATACAATTACGCAATGTCTAGGCATTTCATTAACTATATTTTCTGTATTTGATTAATAAACCGACTTATTTTACAAAGTAAATGACGATATATAAAATACTAAATATTATAATCTAGTCTAATGCGTATGACGCAAAGTTGTCGATTAATTCATAATTACATACATGATAAGTAATGATAATAATAATAATAAAAAAACATAAACGTAATTCTGTACTCACATTATGCCTCGGTGACCAAGAATTGCACATAATGGATGCATCTTCCAATATACGACTCTGCAAAATAAAACAATGCCATTTCTCATTGAAGCCAAGATTTCATATAATAAAATATTTAGCCAATTCTTGTCTAAATAACGCTAAAAAAATATTTTTAATGAAGAAACGGCAGTATAAAAGAGACAAATATGTAAACTATTACATTAAAGAAGGTGAAATTTTAAATATTATTTTGCATGTATAGTTAATTTATCGTTTTAACGCGTTTATATTAATTTATGTATCCGGCAGAAATGTATATGTATTAATAAATTATGTTTTTTTTTGTGAGAGAAAGACTATTATTCTCCGATAACTTTGCACGACTATTTAATCTCAGCAGATTTAACACACTAGTAACTATATCAAAATAGTATTATCGAACAAATATATCTACTATCTAATAATATATCATTGTTATTTATGACACAAATTTCTTGTTACAATAACATATGCGATTGGATGACAAAAATAGAATCAACATTATCGTATCACGGAAATACAATCGATGGATCTGTGTCCGCGATCTCACAAAGAAACCACATAACAAATTTTGATACACGACTAATGACCGAGGAATATTTTCACCCGGATAGAAATCGAACATATACGCGATTTACCTGTCAACGACACTTAATATTTATCTCGTTTGCATATTTTATTTTCGCCGGTCGTCGCGCGCGACGTGAACAAGTATGCGTGCTCTCGCGAACGCGACAACCACATCCGATTCTCGACACGTACAATGTATTATACATACGCGCGCGTATACATTTATATTATATTTAAAGAGCAGAGCTCTGAAAGAGATTGACAGAATCGGGGCATACCGGCGTCGCGACGCCGTCGCAAATTAAATGAGTCATTTTAGGATTCGCGTGCAGAACTAGGTAATTCAATATCGTCCGTATTAAAGCGTCGGCCAATTCTGCACTCGCGCGTTTCTTGATGACAATGATTACGGGTACCGAGACTAATATGAATACATCACTCCGTCGAAGCGACGTACTTTATTAACGTGTGTCACATGTCTCAATGTGTACTCTATCTGTGGCAATACTTCGGATCGACGTGTACGCACGATATATCATCGAAAGCTTCGATTATAAATATACATACGCAGATGTACATATACATACATGTATGTGTGTGTGCCACTTAGCGCCCATTTGACATGATTTTTCAGTCATTTGTCATTCTTTGTTTCAGGGAATATTGTTGTCACGTTTTTGGTGCGCTTATCAAATATTTATCAGAACAAATAATCGTCGAAAAGATTTTAACAGCTAGAATTTGAGATTTTAGTTAATTTCAGGAGCAGACACTTTAGCACAAGACAGTCTGACTTGAGATTTAATTATTGAGATATTTACGATAGAAAGCGATAAAAAAGAAAGTATTGTTGTTAGATAAAAAGATTAAAAAACAATTTTCTTTTTGTGAATTTTAGAATTATCTAAACATAAGAGTTTCAATTAATAAGAATAGATCAAATGTTTTGCAAGTTTAATTAATCACAAAACTAATCATAAAAAAGAACTGCCTTGATTTGATCATAATTTTACAATCTTGGCGTTTTCTTTCTTGCTAGATTATCAGTATTTCTCTTTTGCGTGATTGTCAAATTTTCATTGACAATATTATCTTATCTATTTTTGATGTCATCTATTTGACATTTTAGACTAGATATTTTACAGCTCGATGTTGTTTATTATATATGTGAATGTGAATGAGTGTGTGTGTGTGTATAGATATTTTGGATAAAATATCTTGACAACATGTGAAAATGTGACACTTTGATTATTGTTGTCAAAAGAAGTGTACTTGAGCTTTTCCATATATATGTCTCAATAGCAAATATATATAATATAATTTATAGTAATATTTAAATGTAATGTATTACAATAAAAAGTTTTAAACGTTTTGTTTCATTAAAAATATCGTTTTATTGAGACTAAAAACTATCTCGTATTTGAAAATACTTAAAATGTTTTAAACGTGTATTTTAGTAGTAAAAACCAAATTGCAATTTCACATGTACACTTGTAAAAAAATTAATCTAAAAGTATTCAAGTAATAGCTAGGAAAGTGATTTATCGATTTCTTCTTGACTAAGATAATGCGCGCGCGCGTATAATAACTATAATACGTAATAATAACTATAATGTAAAACGCATTAGATAAGCATTGCAAACTGTGACGCACGTCATCTTTTAAATTCCATGATATGTACGCAGGTGAAAGATATAGCGAGAATATATATCCGAGGATATATACACAAGTAAATGTGTGTTTGTGTGCGTACAGCTCACGCAACCGTGGCTGCGAAAGAAACGTTGTGTGTGTTGAGACATGTGTGTATTATTGCAGCGCGTGTGCGGCAACTCTACAGTGCATCAACCACGTACAAAAGTCGTGTTGTATCGGTAATCTATGTACATGTATTTCTATATGGTACATGCGTATTCGTTTTCGTCGAATACATGTGTGTGCAGCGAAAGCTATATCTATGACGCGAAACACACTCGTGCGGACTTGTACGAGTAAACAGACGCAGTCGAATCAGTTTGGTCGGCTAATTGATTTTCCTTCACATGGCCGATACAGCGCGCATTGCACGCGCGCGTATCGGCGCGGTGCAGCGCAGTTTCGAATATAGAGAGACAGTGCAACGTACTGTACAAATCCAATCCGAAACTCTCGTTTGATTATCAAGCGAATTCTCGCGGCCGATTGTAAATCAACTGCTGCTCCGTGCTCGAGGATCATACTGATACTTTAGATTGGACGACATGGCAGAATATATCGCATATCGGAAATCTAACCCTTTCTGCACAAGTAAAATACGACAAACATTTGATTGAACATTGTCAAGTTGCACAAAACGAACGTATGAAACGTCAATATATCGCGAATGTAGAAAAGAAGATCTTTAATACACAGACTCTGTCTGTCTGTCTCTCTCTCTCTCTCTCTCTCATTGCGAGCAATATAAGATAAAAATATTGTTTAAAAATTCTTGTATAAGAGTAATTAGAATCTGATCCTGTTTATTTTGTTTTTGATTTATATGTCTAAAAAAATTCTTAGATAATTTATTTAGATATTTTATTTGATTTATTAACTAGAAAAGAACAAATTATAGACAAAAGTAAGTTTTTATTTATTGCCTTAGGTAGACCAAGATTTGGGGATAAAATGTATTAAAAATTAAGATCAATATATATGTATGTATGTACAAATATATGTGAAAGATTTGAAGATTTATTTACAAAAAAATTATAAAAATATTAACATGTATACGTAAAAAGTTTTACGTAAAATTTAGTTGTTAGAAAATTAACTGTAGACAATAAAAGCATCAAAGATGTGAAAGATATAAGTAGGATGTTTGGAATGCTACAAACGAAGTCACTGAATAATACAGAACAGTAGACAGTAACTGTACGGAGAGGGCAAGTGTCTCTGATTATAACAAAAGCGAGGGGCTTGCAGCCCTACTCATTTGTTATTAACCGGCGTGAAGGAGCGTTAAAGTGCAGAAAGACTTCGAACACGACTTCACACTTTGACTCGTAATCCTTGGTAACTTTAGATAATTACTGGTGAAACTTCCGCGAAGAATCTCATGTACCTTCTCGGGCAATATTCTCGAAGTACGTTTTCTCGTCAGATTCACGAGTGTCATCGTTATCAATGATACTGCGTTGCTTAAATTGAATTTGTTTTTGGCATCAAAGATAAGAGTAAAGAATTGAGCTTTTGAAGTAAAATATATTATATAATATATATGTATATATACATACATATATTAAAACCTCTATGCATATTATTAAAGAAAAATTATAAATTTTATATAAATAATTTCTTGCTTTCATGAGTATTTATTTTAAAATATTCACTAATTTTAATTATGTATTATTAAAAAAAAAACATATTATAGAACATAATAATAAATTTCCTATTTTAAGATAGTCGAGACCAATTAATTATCGCTTCTCAAGTTCTAAAAATTTAATACTGCAATTTCAAAACAGATAAATTACTATTAACAACATTATTTTACTCTACTTGACATGGTGGTTATGTTTATGCATGTATGATCAGCTTTTAAATTTACAATAGTAGAGTAGCACAAGACAAAAACTTGAAAAGTGAGAATCAATGAGTCTTGAGAAATGAAAACTTGAAAAATTGGCAACTCACAATTCTTTACTGCTGTATTAATTAATTCTAAATATATAAAATTCTACTTTATACAGATACATACACAAATTTATTATTTTTATAATATGTTGAATACTACAAATAAATAACAATAATTTATTTTATTTTGTGTATGTAATTCTAAAACATTTTTTTCAGGATTTTAGTTGCAGGATAACAATATGAGGATAAATATTAGAATATATGTTTAGATTGAAAAAACCCGCGCCGGCGCTGTTGTCACGCAAAATATGGAACGGATAGCTGTGCTACGTAGATTTAGCTTGACACGGCTCATTACAATTTCAGACGAAAAACACGAGCTTTGAAGCACGAATCATCTAAGAGATCGCTAAAGAGAATTTATGAAATTTCCTAATTTAATAATTCCAGTTTCCGGCGGCTGCGTCTTGCCTGTAGTTTCGTTATATATATCACGCTTGCCATGGCAATTCTTTTACTCTCAATACGAAACCGGATTAAGCGACTTTAGAAACGACATTTCGCTACAGTTTCGCTGTACTGAAAAAGGGCAAAATAAATTAATGCAATTCTGACAAAATTTGGACAGCAATCCTGTATTATCAGACATTGCGTTGCTTTCTCGTTATTCCTGATGTTATTTCGCTAAGTTTCACTTCTCGACAGTTAATAAAACAGTAATGTGCCAAAAATAGCATTTCTGAAATTTGTATATAATTTTATGTAATATTACATTACTACTTTAAATTGCTTTTTAATAGACACTCTAAGTAAGACGTCTATTTGTTTCAATGCATGTGTTGAATTGTTTAAAATCTACTGCTAAACAC